TTCACTGAGTTACGCAAGCCCCTTCACCACGACAAGGCAGTGATCCATGAAGGGGAGCATACATTACTCCAACTCTATTACAGTGTAATAAGTTGCCACTCTTTTATTGGGGGGTTGGGGGGTGGAGGTTGCTCAACTCTTGACTGTGTTAAGTGGCTCAGGGGTTAACTATTAGGAAATCACTCCACCTTTTGATTTGACATTTAACGTTCTGTTACACAACAGTTAGAACAAATTTACATATATTGTATTGGAAGTTGCCAGTTTTGAAGCTCAGTCAAAACAGAAGCATCCGTGCCCATTCATTTCCAGTAAAATGTCCACATTTTCTCAACAGTTCTCCCTCGGGGATCCAAATTCCCATAAGAGAGATGCATTTAATTCAGCTTAGGGGGGGGTTCCTCCATCTTTTCCTCTTCCACCCAGTATGAAGAGCTCCAGATTTCAGTTAGGAGACGTGGAGATGACCTGCGCAATACAAAGATCGAGATCTCAGAACTGAACCACATAATCCAGAAGCTCCATTCTGAGGCTGACACTGTGAAAAAACAGGTACGGCCATATAGAATTACCATAAAATGAATGGGAAATAGATACTGTACCAGAAAGCCTTGAACATAATAGAGTTTGTTTTTTAATGTTCATACTGACACTCATGAGGTTTTCTTCGTTTCCCTGTAAACTGTTCCATTGGTCTTGTTAATAACCACCAGTCTGATTCAGACTGATCTAAAACTGACAAGGAAAAAAACATCCAGATGGTGTATGTGGGGAAGAATTAGACCACAGATGCTTTTGTTCACAGGCTCATAGAGAGCCAGTTTGGTGTAAGGATTAAGGTGCTGGACTAAAAACTGGAAGACTGAGTTCTAGTCCTCCCTTAGGCATGAAAAGTCACTGGTTGGGTGACTATGGGCCAGTGGCTCTCTCTTAGCCCAGTCTACCTCACAGGATTGTTGTTATGGAGAAAATAAAGACAAGATATGAATCTAATAATAATAGGCTTACATCTTGATTTTCTCTGCCAGTGTCCCACAGACAATCAATCCAGATATTTTTATTTGGAATCACAAGACTGAAGTTTCTTCTATGTGGTAAGTGGCTTTGAGCTGAGTCCTGGCTGTTCTCCTTGCAGTGCGCCATTGTACAGGCAGCCATTGCAGATGTGAAGGAGTGTGGAGAATTTGCCCTTAAGGATGCCAGGCTGAAGCTTGCTGAACTGGAGGAGGCACTCACAAAGGCCAAGGCAGAGATGGTCCGTCAGCTGCGAGAGTACCAAGACCTACTGAATATCAAGTTGGCTCTGGATATTGAAATACTCACCTATAGGAAGCTGGTGGAAGGGGAGGAGAGCAGGTGGGTAGAAGGCGAAACAGAATGGGGTTGCCAAGAGAATGCTATTTTCTGTTGTACAAGTATTTTTTTCAAAATGCCTTGGTTCTGCTGGTGAACTCATTGTCCTCATTGCCAATAGCAGCACTTGCAGAGTTTGCTGCCATCTTCCACAACTCTTTATTGTTTCTGTAATAATAGTAATTTCTCTTCTTCCCTCTTTTAACAGGCTTGCTGGAGAGAGAGTTGGTACACTAAATGTATGTAAGTAAAAGCAAATGAATCATAGAAACTCAGTAGTAAAAGATAAGATAATTAAATAAAATCCTTCCTTCCTAATAGAAAGTGCATTTACAGCAACAGCTATTATAACAAAACATATAGCGGTGTCATGCTGAAACAACTGCACAAACAGTAATGCATTTCACAAACAAGAATATGTGAAAGCCATCTAATTTCTTTTTCTTAGGCTTTATATAATAGTACAGGTAGTCCTCAACTTACGACCATTCATTTAATGACCATTTGAAGTTACAACAGCGCTGAAAAAAGTGACCTACAACCAGTCCTCGCACACAACCATTGCAGCGTCCCTGTGGTCACATGATCAAAATTTGGGCACCTGGCAACTGGCATGTACAGTATTTATGATGGTTGCAGCATCCTGGGGTCACATGATCGCCATTTGTGACCTTTCCAGGGAGCTTCCAGCAAGCCAAGTCAATGGGGGAAGCTGGATTCGCTTAATGATTGCATGATTTGCTTAATGAGAATAGCAAAAAAGGTCATAAAATGGGTGCAACTCACTTAATGACCTCATTGTTTAGTGATGGAAGTTCTGGTCCCAATTGTGGTGGTAAGTCGAGGACTACCTGTATTTCCTTGACTTCCTGAGAAGTTTCATCTGATGAAACCTTTAGATTTCTTTTCTGTTCTGGTTTATGCAACATACAGTAGCATTTCAGGTGCATAGAACTCTCTTGCTTCTCCCAGAATTGATTGGATATTATGTGGGTGTAAGTTTGGATTAAAGGATGGAAAAGTTTGTGTCTCACTCCTTGGCTCACAACAAGAACAGCCTTACTGGATTAAACCAAACTCATCTAGTCCAGCATTTTGTTTCTCACATTAGCCAACCAGATGCCTTTAGGGAGCTTGCAAGCTGAAGAGGACAGATACCCTCCTGCCTCTGTTGTTCCCCTACAAGTGGTATTTAGAAGTATGCTGTAGCTTGATTAACCTGCTCTCCATGAATTTCGGTCTCCCTTTAAAGCCATGAAGTTAGTAGTCATCGCTATTATTTGATAATAATGAATGTCTGAAGTACTTTTTTTGTGTGTCGTTCTGAATCTCCTTCCAATCAACTTCACTGGATGAACCCAGCCCTAGAGTTCTGAAAGAGGGAGAAAAACTTCTTCCGATCCACTTTCTCCATGTCATCCATGATTTTATATACCCCAATCAGAACCTCGCCCCCTCAGTCATCCTTTTTTTTTTTTACCTAAACAATCCCAAACACTTTAGCGTTTGCTCTTCAGAAGGTGTTTGAACCTTTTTCATTCTGTGTTCCCTGAAGATCTGTGTTTTCTTTGCAGCTGTGGTCCATTCATCCAGAGGCCTGAGCTACGGTGGGGGAAAAGCTGTGGGCCTTGCTGGCGGAGCCCCTTGAGCTGCAGAGGAAGTCTTAGCCCTGGAGGAAGCAACTTCACTTCCAGCACTCTCCAAGGGCTTGAGGGGAGCAGTGGTTCCAAGGGAGGCAGCTCCAGTATGAAAACTGTAGCAAAAACTTCCACGGCCAGAAAGAGCTACCAGAGCTAAATTTTGGTTCAGCCAAATGAGGCAAGCCTATGTCACAGTGGCAGAGGAGACACAATGGGTCCACCAAATTCTCTGAAGCAGCAATAAGCAGCCTCATGCCCTAGAGCAGTGTTGTCCAAACTTGGCCACTTTAAGATGAGTGGCCCAGTTTGGACAACACTGCCCTAGAGATATTTTCAACCACAATCTTTTGTCTTTGTCTTCGCATATTGGGGCTGATGGCTGTGGATGGCCATCATATTTGGAAGGCAACAGAGTGACTACTGCTACTTAAAGCATGGGGTCACGAGGCAATTGAAAGCAGAGCATGGATAGTGGGGAAATGCTGAACACTACCCAGGCACAGTTTTTGCCTGAAACAACTTCTGTCTAGCTGTGGTCCTGCAGAGGGGGATGTCCATAGAAAAACAACAAAGGAGAAGCCCTTTCAAACTGGGAAGCGCTGGCAAGGAGGGTTTCAGAGCTCATGCCCTGTAGGCTGGTCCATACCATGCTTTTACCTGCCTGCCCTTGCTTTATGGGAATTTGGTACAACCCACATTTTGTCTGTTAGGTCGTGCTGCACTGCTTTCTGATATGCTGCTCTCCCTAACCTTGCTGCAGACATCCCTGGTCTTTTGGTGACTGGTTTCTGCTTCTCTGGGCAGGTTCATAAAGTTGTTATACAAATGATTAAATAGCACGCAGGAATGCATATTCCATGGCAGCCAAAGTGGTTCAACGGATACAGTCACAAGTAGATCTGAGTTCCAGGCTGTACTTAGTCAGGATAAACTCGCTTGATGATGGCGGCTCAGTTTCCCTATCTATAAAACACACATGGTTCTGACAACAAATAAAATATATTTTTAATTGCATCTTCACGCAATCGTATCTTGGGGAATAATCTTAGATCTGGCTTCTGAACTGATTTGTGAATTATCAGCTGTAAATACAAATGCTTCTAATTCATTGCAGTGTCAGAGATCTAGGTGTGCGTATTATCTAATCCATTTAAGATGTGGGGGTCCACAGAAATATTGGGGACTCATGTCTGCCAAAAGACGCATGCTTTCATCTCTGTTCCATTGGGAACAAAATAATGCTGTTTCTCCTGATGCATGACTGCCCACATGGGCTCCTTTTCAGAAAGAGAGCACCCTTGCCTTCAATTTAAAGAGCTTGGTTTCTGTTAAGGAAAAAAAAAAATCCAGAGAGTTAATTACCTTAGAAAGGCAAGTTGCTTTGTATGCCAGATAAGACACAGCTGAAAAGGTCCCAATGTCAGTTTCATGAGAATGTTAAACAGATGTGGGTAAATAATGTGGCTTTATCCTGATGTTTTAGACTATAACTATATTAAGCTTGTTCCCTTAGATATGGAAGCTCCACAGTGTATCCATGAGCTATGCAGTATATCTGATACTGTACCATGCTTCTGTTCTGTAGCCCTTACAATGTTTTTTTCTTATGTTAAATATTTTCAAAGGCAATGCCCTGTTCACATCTTTCATAAAATGTAGAACTAAAATATATGAAAACTAAATATTTAAAATAATGACCCGCTGTAAAGAACAGTTTTTAAAGGTTTTTCTCATCATCTTCTAAACGTTTCTAAAAGTATGGTTTCTAAAGTTTATGTTTATAAACACTGTAAATCAATTGGAGTACAAAGGAGGAGGAAATCAGAAACAAATACTTATCTATACTTTTTAAAATAGTTTCTTTTCCTCTACTTTTTTTTGTAGCATTTACAAATAAAACAATGGAGATTTTGCCACTAAGCTCAAAGTCATATAAAAATAACTCAGTGTACTTTGTCTGGTATAGTCAATTTTCTATTAATGTTATACCGAGCATCAGCTGTATAACTTAAGGAATTCTCTTTGTCCGCTTATCAGTATTATATCTTTTGAAATTGTATCTTTGTTTTAAATAAATATTTAAATAAATCAAAGGGAAAGAAACAAGGAAATAGTGGACAGAGAGTGTCTGCACCGTTCTATCTCTACTGTTCTTCCTCTCCATGGATGAAATGCCGTCTGTGGAGGAGGTGGCATCCATTTTTGTAGCTTCTTGCTGCCTGACACTGAAAATCTCTGAAAAAGTCATTACCACGAAAGGGTTTTGTGCACATATCTGCATTACCTATTAAAGGGGGGGAGGGAAGGATGGGGGTGAAGAAGAGGGTAGCAAGAGGAGATTTTATACATATAGATACAATTACACCAAGTTCACGTGGTGAATATTTCTGATCCATGGCTGCCAAGTGGTGACAAATAGCATTTCCACTGGCAAAGTGCCTGACTGTTGTATTAAGCCTTTATCCATACATGGTAAGACAGTTCCATATGCACCAATTGCTGAAGATGCTATCTCATGCTGGCCTTCTATAAATCATTAACTTTCTGCCTTGTGCACTTTCATTCAGGCTGTGAGTGAAGATGACTAATTCAGGAACCAGATTCCAAGGAACTTGAGTAATTCCTGATGAGACAGGTACACATGTCCCAGTCCAGGCCCACACGCCTGTATTAGCTATTAGACTAGCTCCCCCATTACCCATTTTGGACTACTATAATTTATGGGGGGACGCGGTGGCGCAGCGGCTTAATGACGCTGAAAGTTGCCGGCCAGAAATGGTC